ATAAACTATATCATAATTATCTTAATTTATAGGTTTCATTGATTTCTGTATTGGGGTTATTCCTATCAGGTTACATTTGAAGTTAAGAAGGTGAGATCACCGAATGGCCTTTGAGGTAAGAACATCAAATTCCTGCTATCTCTTTAGCTCACGGAGTCCCATTAGTAAATCAAAGCGTTGGGTCCGCACTCTGAATAAAATCTTATACTTTATATCAGAGGTTTGTCTTTTTGGGCTATAGTGGATGAAGAACTTTTGGAGATATTGTATTATAAAGTCAAGCTATTTCTTTTCCTTAGTTTCTACTTAGGATCAATTGCAGGTGGGCATCTACTGTGGAACAAGAGAGTATGTAGTTAGTTTCTCTCATGTTAATTACCTCTCACACTTACAAACTGCTGCTTCAGACCTTCCCATGAGACTCCTGGGCTCATTGGAACTATTGTAAAGAGTTTTAATATATAAGCCTAGGAAATATTGGAAAATATTTCCCTTATTTTTGGATGCGTTGATAGTTCATTAACAGCCTCACTAAAAGTAATGAACAATAAACCAGTACCAACCACCCCTGTCTAACTAAAAATAATGAATAAGAAAGTGGTCACCACCACCCGTGCTTTGGGGCGGTTTTCTGGCGCCTGCCCACAGTTGATTAACTCTTGTTTGTTTTTTGTTTATTTTTCTATTTGCTTTAGCAAAGCATTCACAGAAACTCTTTCTATTGGGAGTCTCATCTGGATTTGAAATGGCTCCAAGCTGGATTCCCATATAGCCGTATTTTCTTCTGTAAAAAAAGGCCTATTCACATTTTTAGCCACATAAATGCTGAAAGTGAAAGGTATTTCCAATACAACCCTAAATCTATTTTTGTTCTGGGAAACCCATTACTTTTGTTTTTCCCCAGCAAGAATCAGACAAATTCCCATAGTTGGCTCACTGTGGGACAGACATCAAGAAATTCAAGGGAACAGAGAAAGTAAAGAAGAAAGTGTTCAAGGTTCAGAGAAAGTAAGATATGCAAGAGTTTCTCTTCCGTGAAGGGAGTGTGTATGGTGTGTGTCTCTCTGTGTGTGTGTGTGTGTGTGTGTGTATGTGTGTGTTTTCTGAAGCAAATCTTCCACAGAATGCCTTCTACCATACTCCCAAGTGTCTTTATATCCCCATAGTGTGTTGATTATATTCTTTCATTTTGAACAACTTTTACAAAAATAGCATGGAATACAGTACCCATGTAATGCAGTATGTATTAGTGTAGAAATGACTTTCATAAATTGGACATAATCTGGAATAATGACTTTTAATTAACACAAAGCAAAATCATGTGTCCTTGAGTCTTGTGTCGTGGCCACCTGATCTCATTTCCTTGGCTTCCTCAGCTTGTACTCCACACTACGAGATAATGAATGTGTGCAGGTAAAAGATAATTATCATATCAGAGCACTGAAAGGCAGCACAACCGTCTGCAACTGCACACAGTGAAGACAGAGTAGGAAGGATACATGACCTTGGGAGAATGAGATAGTCTAGAACTACGGATGAAAAGATGGAACGGTCCATTAAGTCATGGGATGGGGGGCAAATTTGTACTTCCTTAATTAAAGTTTAAGAAACCATTTTGAGTAAAATTATGGGTGGGGCCTGACTAGTGGAAACAGTTCCAGGACCGAGTTCCAGACACAGTTCCAGAAGATAGATGATTCCAAGGATAGCTGGGGGACTGAGGGCCCTCAGAAACTGGGCCTACTCTTAAATAATTAAGAGTCAGGCTTTTTGTTACACAATTATAATGTTGGTGTAGTGACACTGTGTATTAAGTCTTCAGGGAGCATTAGTTATGTTTCTGAGACTGTGTTCTTGTTTTGTGGGCCTGGGTAGCCTCAAGCACTTCCTTCAGCTTCCCAAGTGCTATGATCACAAGATTGTACCAGCATACTTGGCTAGTAGCCATTAGATACTGATATAGCTTTATTAAAGTTTATTTTTAACTACCTGTAAACTGTGTGCATGTGTGTGTAGATGTGAGTGTGTTTGTGAATGTGTGTGCACACACGAGTATAGATGCCCTCACAATCAGAAAACAGGATCATTTTGTTAGAGTATCAATAAGCCCCATAAAGTTAACTAGTCCAGACTATAAAAATGTGTAGTTTATCTGTTGGAAGACCCACTTTTCCAGTCTCACTGGTCAATTACCTGGTGATAGAACCACTCCCAGGAAGGCAGGTTCACCTTAAGTTATGCTAAAGAGATGGGCGAAACATCTGGTGTGTTAATGAGGTGGCAAATATTTCCTGCCTGGAGCTAGCACAGATCTCTGCAGAACTTCCAGACCTGCCACAGACACGTAGGTGTCCGTAAGTCTGTCCGCTTTCTGGAACTCTTCAGGAAAGTGTAATTTCCCCTTTTCTTCTCCATGCCTTTCTTACTAAACGTGCTTTCTCTAAGGCTTTGGGCTGCCCCTATCATCTTGCATTTCTTTACTTTTTCTCTAACGTTTCCTTCTCCCAGCCATGGGGCTGCCAGTCAGCCACGTGTCTGAGCTCTATGCGGGCTCTCAACCTGCACGGCTTCCATAATTTTTTTTCCTTCTTCCCACACTATTCACCTCCTCAAGGCAGCTGCCAAGATGACCACCTTGCCTGCCCTGAGGATTTTTCTTCAAGATTCTAATAACATTGTAAAAGCTTCTGTTTGTGTCCATTCTTAAATTCTTTTATGAATGAGACTACCAACCCTCTAGGTGACCCTCTTTCTCCCTGTTTCAGTTTCCCAGGAGCTGACCTTACAGGTTCCTGCTATCTGAAGTTAATGCTGAGAAACAATCTCGGTCCTCTGTAAGAGCAGCCAGTTCTGTTCGCTACCGACCCATCTCTCCAGCACCAGACTTTCATATTTTAATTGCATCTTGCATGTTAGCTAATTATAATACCGCAAATGGGGGTCACATTCTGAGGTTTTTTTTCCCAGCCAACTATCAAAACCTATTTTTAAGTTATGGATAGAAACAAAAGAAAACTTACACACATATGTGGATAAACATCATGCCTAACTCCATATTCATGAGATGACAAATTTGAAAACATAGACAAAATACCAAAACAGATGATATCAAATACATCCCAGTTCTATCTTCCACTAGAAATTTTCTCCGAACAATTTAATTCACCCCCATGCAAATGAAAATATTCATGGAAATAAATCCACTTCTTTTCATTTTTCTCTAGAACTTGAGTTCTCTGATTTGACTCATTCTACTCTACATAGAGGATTCATAATTTCCTGTCAGCCAATCAAAACCTGTATTTCCATTTTACTGGCAGCATGCTCTTTTACATGAATATACTATTTTTCTCTTAACTGATCTTCTCCCACTGATTATGTGAGTTGTTTGTTTTGACTTCGTGTAACCTGAAATACTTAAAAAAAATTTTTTATGTGTATGAGTGCGTTGTGTCCTGCAGTGCACAGGGAGGTCAGAAGAGGTCATTGGATCCCCTGGAACTGGAGTTGTGAAAGGTCATTAGCTGCCATGTGGGTGCTGGGAATTGAACCTGGGTCCTTTGCAAGAGCAGACAGTGCTCTTAACTGCTGGGCCATCTCTCCAGGCCCCTACCCTGCAATATTTTAAACAAATTATTTGTGTATCATTTCCGTGGATTTATTTCATTTCTGTAACCATACTAACATTGCCTTTTGTGGTATGTATTTCCATTTTAATAGGTATTAATCTTTAAGCCACAGATACATATTTAAAAATAGAAACTCAGGTATCAGTGAATGGTAAGAGATATCTGTAGGGAATGGTTTATCCCTTTTTCTGTTCCTTGAGAAATCTTATAATTAGACAACTGTATGTGACTTCCCAGTCCTAAATTGAAGTCAAATTAAGTGTATTATTCATATCCTAATTTTATACCTTTAATTATTAATAATTGATCAGATAATCTAAAAATCAAAATATTTCTAAAAATATTCATTTGCCATTATCCACAGTAATTCCAGATGTTTATGTAAAATTCATTTGAAGAAAGTTCTCACACCTGCTAAATTAGGTTAGCAATTTTACTTAGAAGTCTCCTTGAATTGGTTCATTTTCTAGATTATTCTAAAAATTATTATCTGCCAGGAAATTGTGAGATAACTAACAAATAACAAAAATGTAGAGAATGTACTCTATTATTATGTTTTAAACGTTCATTACAGGTATTAGGAGAGTGTGCAAAGTTTTAAAAATTTTATGTCTCGGGTATTTTGTGATTTCATCAGTCCTATTTTCAGGATATTCTGAAAATTTTAGAGAAATATCATGCTAATACAGGACTGACTGGAGTTGATGTTTCTTTCTGGATTGTACATCACAAGAGATGATTTGCAGAAGAAAGAAGTTCCTTATAAATGGGGATGAGTTCCATGGGAAGTGACAAAGACTGACAAGCTAGAATTCAACTCTTTCTAACTTTTGGATTTGGATACCCCTAATCTTGCTAAAATGATATAGTTTCTAAAGCATGACATATATAAAGTTTCACAAAGTCTTATTTGCTCAATAAACTTATACAATGACAAACAGGATATATGTCATTGGCAAAAGGCTGAAAATTTAATGATTAGACTTAAAATTGACATATGCAGCTGTCTGTAAAGTTACCTGTGCTAAGTCCAATTGCTTCCTTATGTGGTTTCCTTAAAAATGTAAATGAATACAAACGAACAACAATCATAAATATAACTCAAATTACTTCTGTCATTGAAAATGACATGAGCAATCACCTGTGACAAGCAGAAAACAATTTCAGGTTAAGGCAACTTTTAAAAACTACTAATCAGAGAACATTGAAAGAGACAGAGACCCAGCATGTTACTCAGTATTTGCTGCCACTGGGAAGCATAAACTTTGGCATAAATTTTTCATAATTTATATTATTGGAAATGGGGGAGGAAGTGATGCTGTGCCTTTAATTTCCCTTTCTGAGCAAGGGAAGGCTGCGCACCACTGACAAGCTCACTTGTTCCCGTCTTTAATGTGCAATCTGTTTTCTCCAGCGGAGGGCACTCAGTGTATCACAAACTCAAGCATTAGCACCAACAAGCTCTGAGCACCATCAGTCTCTGGGAAGCCTTCTGAATTAGACAAGGGCTGCCTCTCAGCACAGCTACAAAACACTTTCAACCTGACCAGCTAAATGGATAAACCTAGCCCGCAAAGCTTTTAAACTGGGGTCTCACACAGCACAGGAGGCCTGCTTGCTTCAAGGACTGAAAAAAATCCCGAGGATGAATTGCTTTATCTGGGAATGGTAAAAGCCAGCTCAGTAAGGAATGCCAGGTATTCTGAAGATTTTATTTTCTTTCCTTTTTCCCCTCTCCTCTCTCTCTCTCTCTTTTTAATTTTTTTTTTTTTTACAGAGAAGTTGGTTACCTCCGAGATGGGCTGTAGCTCTTTTCACAGACTGCCAGTTTACTGCTGATGAGTCTCTAGCAACTCTCCGGGGAAGTTTGTATGGGGCTGCTGGCTCACATGCGGGCTCAGAATGGTTTGAATGACAGCTGCACTGTGTCATGAAGGTGGTGGTGATTTCTACCGGAGAGACCAAATAAGAAGAAAGCTGAGAGAGGGGGGCAGACGTAATTTGGATGACAAAGGATGGGTAAGCGAACTTTTGTTTTCTTCTTAGTAAAGCTGATCCTCTCACCCCCGCCCCCAGTCCTCAGTCCCTAGCATTAGCTGCCAAAAGACCAAGAAACAGGCAAAAAGCAGCAGCCTTCCACTGTAGCTGCTATTATATTTTTAGAGCCTTTTCTTTTTGCAGTGTGTGTTTTTTTAAATCCATAAATGCGTAACGCGGACTTAAACACACTCTAGAGGAAAAGCTTTAAGATCATCTCTAGCGTCTGTGTACCACAGCTTGGGAACAGAGTATGAAATAAATACCGTGTTTGCTTCGTTTTCCTGATAACATTAGCCACGCTTGTATTTCCCTTTGATGTCAGGAAGATTGTTAACACTTGGCTGCGTGTGTGCAGGGGTGGGGTCCTCACTTTATCAGAGGTGGCACCCTGGGCTTCTTCAGTCTTGGAAGCTGCATTCTGAATACACCTTCCCAATTTCCAGTAGTCATTTGCCAGTCTTATTTTTTCAAGTGTGACTGGCTTTTCCCCCTCTCTTTCTCCTGTCTGGGAGAGCTGGGATGTATTTCAATGAGTCTGTAGCTGGCAAAAAGACAGAGAGCAAGATCGAGTTTTAAATTTACCAAAAAAAAGAGAGAGAGAGAGAGAGAGAGAGAGAGAGAGAGAGAGAGAGAGAGAGAGAAAGAAAAAAAAAGAACTCTTTGAGAAGAGGGAAGATTTTTAGGCTGGGGTTTGGGCTGATTGTCTCTTAGTTAAAAAGATGAATGTTTAAAAAAAGAAACTGTAGCATGCTTTAATTCTTTCTCTGTTTTTCTATGGTTAAGAAATAATATATCTACTCTTGACCATTGACCAGAGAAAAGAAGTTCCCTCACACCCAGTTACTTGAAAATGCAGCATCCATGTGAATAGGTTTCAACTTTACAGGCTTTCTGAAGTTAACAGAGGTAGAGGGGAGGTGATAAAAGTCAGTGAAAGGTTTGAGTAGGTCAGGATGGTAGAGAGGGGGTTAGTGTTCTCTTTCTGTTTAGATCTCAAATTTGCAAAAGAGACTATATGTAAAATAACAGCTTATAACAACCTACTGGCATGATTATTTTGTATTCTGCACTTAGTAAGAATTTGACATCTTAATTTGTGCCAGGGTCTGTAATCACCTGTCTTAGCTCATATATCCCTGGTCAGTGAACAAAGATATGCGATATTAAATGAATATTAACCAATTGAGAGCAGCTGTTTGGAGTCTCCATACCAGGTGCCATGGGCTTCTTCACAAATCCTCATGTTGTTTTTTCAGAGCTCATACATTGCCATCCTAGTATGCAGTAAGTATGTAATTTGAGGCCGAACAAACTTGGATTACTTTGACAGCATCCCGGAAGCTCTTTTGCTAAATCACAGTCTGTTTGAACAACTAGGAAAGATGTATGTATACCAGAGTTCCTAAGTCACAATTTTGCCCAGATCAGAAGGTAGTGAATAACTTCGTTTAGGTACTGTCATTCAATACAGTGACTAGCCAAATGTTATCATTATTAAAATGTCAGCATTCACTACAAAGAAGGCTTTTCAGGGTTGAGACAGACAAGAACTCTTAAAACTCAGAAAGGCTTTTTTATAGTTAATACAGCACTCTAATGTTTTGAAGATGAAGGAAGAAAGAATGAAATTTAAGCAGGAGGCTTGGGACACTGAAGGCAATAAAATGTTGCAGCATGTTTTTAAGTGTACTGTCTGATTTCTACACTAGACAGAATGCCCCCTATCTTGTGGGCTGGTGCTGATGTATTGTTGCTGCTTCACAGTGTGCATCTGTCTCCTCTTTGATGTTTCAGGTTTCCATCGCATTACAAAGCTGAAAGGCATGACTGTGTTTCTGGTGCTATTTCCTACCCTCCTGCTGGTTATGCTCACTGGGGCTCAGAGAGCTTGCCCAAAGAACTGCAGGTGCGATGGCAAGATTGTCTACTGCGAGTCCCATGCCTTTGCTGACATCCCAGAAAACATTTCTGGAGGGTCACAAGGTTTATCGTTAAGGTTCAACAGCATTCAGAAACTCAAATCCAATCAGTTTGCCGGCCTTAACCAGCTTATATGGCTTTATCTTGACCATAATTACATTAGCTCCGTGGATGAAGATGCATTTCAAGGGATCCGCAGACTGAAAGAATTAATTCTAAGCTCCAACAAAATTACCTATCTGCACAATAAAACATTTCACCCAGTTCCCAATCTCCGTAACCTGGATCTCTCCTACAATAAACTTCAGACGCTGCAGTCCGAACAGTTTAAAGGCCTTCGGAAACTCATCATTTTGCACTTGCGGTCCAACTCCCTAAAGACCGTCCCTATAAGAGTCTTTCAAGACTGTCGGAACCTTGACTTTCTGGATTTGGGTTACAATCGTCTCAGAAGCTTATCCCGAAATGCTTTTGCTGGCCTTTTGAAACTGAAGGAACTTCATCTGGAGCACAATCAATTTTCAAAGATTAACTTTGCTCATTTCCCACGCCTCTTCAACCTGCGCTCCATCTACCTGCAGTGGAACAGGATCCGCTCCATTAGTCAAGGCTTGACGTGGACATGGAGTTCCTTACACAACTTGGATTTATCAGGGAATGACATTCAAGGGATAGAACCGGGCACATTTAAATGCCTCCCCAATTTGCAAAAATTGAATTTGGATTCCAATAAGCTCACCAACGTCTCACAAGAGACTGTCAATGCATGGATATCCTTAATATCCATCACCCTATCTGGAAATATGTGGGAATGTACTCGGAGCATCTGTCCTCTGTTCTATTGGCTGAAGAATTTCAAAGGGAATAAAGAAAGCACCATGATATGTGCGGGACCTAAGCACATACAGGGGGAAAAAGTCAGTGATGCAGTTGAGACGTACAACATTTGTTCTGAGGTCCAGGTGCTCAACACAGAAAGATCACACTTGGCACCACAAACTCCTCAGAAGCCCTTGATCATCCCCAAACCCAGCATCTTCAAACCCGATGGCATGGCGCCCACTCTGGAAGCAGCAAGCCCATCCCCAGGTTTCCAGATTCCTGGAGCAGACCAAGAATATGAACACGTTTCCTTTCACAAAATTATTGCTGGGAGCGTGGCTCTGTTCCTCTCGGTGGCTATGATCCTCCTGGTCATCTATGTGTCCTGGAAACGCTACCCAGCCAGCATGAAACAACTTCAGCAGCATTCTCTGATGAAGAGACGAAGGAAAAAGGCCAGGGAGTCTGAAAGACAAATGAATTCCCCTTTACAGGAGTACTATGTGGACTACAAGCCTACGAACTCTGAGACCATGGATCTATCAGTTAACGGATCTGGGCCCTGCACATATACCATCTCTGGCTCCAGGGAGTGTGAGGTATGAACCATGATCCTCCTAAAACCATTTCTACTGCGGGGAAGGAGAGGTAAATGTTTGAAGCTCTAGAGGTGTCTCTAATCACTAGAAAGATTAAGGACACTTTTGCTTTTGGGTTTTGCTCAGTGTGAAAGGTTGCTTAATTAAATTACAACCACCAGGAAATTGACTTGTTTTTAATGGTTGAACTTGAAAGAAGTTCATTGGAGGATGAGATTAAGTTGGAATAAAATACTATGTTAAAACATCTTTTTTTTTTTTTTTTTTTTTAATTAACAGTTTGTATGCAGGGGTTGGACTTGGAAACATGCATACTCACAAACAAAACTTTTCATTCTGAAATTTATGTCTGGTTCTTGGTGTTTGACTTTTGGAATGAGGAAAAGATGGAAGGGTCAGCTTAATTTAAAAAACTAAGAAAGTTAACCAAAATTTCAGGAGATAATGATGATTTAAACCAAAGAGCAATTGACCCAAGGTTTGATTTTTTTTCGTTGTAAATTTTTGGTTTGAATTAAAGCATGCAACTGGGAAGTCACAGCCATGTCACATGCCATTTTATGTGTTATATACCAGCATAGAGAATGTTTGAGGCGTACTATAGAATTGTGTCATGCTTTTAATGATTCTTTCTATTTTACTTTGTTTTTTTTAAAAAAAATTACTGGGATGTGGATCAACTTTCAAAGGTCTTAAGTGCTGGCTATTTGTGTGTAATTAGAATGAAACTGAAATTCTATGATTTGCTTGCTCCTCTGGTAACTAATAGAAGGTCAAGATGTAGTTGGATGACTTAGCAGTCACATAATGACAAGCATGGCAAGGACTGCTTGTCACGTTTTCTGTAATCCCCATAAGAAATGACATGGACGCTTGTTAACTTGATCCAATACTAAGTGATGCAAATATTTATGAATAAAAGAGTAAGTTTTACCCTGGGTCTTCTCCCTTTGTAATAGCCTCAAATGAAGGTTTAAATTTCTTGTTGTATTCTTTTCATTGTTGTAAGAATGAGTTCCATCCAGTTTCTGAGTATTTAATTTTTAAAGTCACTTATCAGAACATGTCATGAGTAGAAAAATAGTCACCCACTTCCATCTTGTCATTGAGTTATACTGGATTAAGTTCTTCTCTTGATAAAATTGGTCATACTGTGCAATGCCCAACTGCCGGGCTTTGTTACTACAATATATTAGTGAACAGAGGTTGTGTTCTGGCAATTGGCTCTTTTAGCATCTGATATTAGATGATGACTTTTTCAAAACAGAGTTTTAATGAGCATTTTAAAGACACTGCCCTTTTTAATGTTTACAGTTAGAAAACATGACTTGTTCTTTGATAATACATACTCCAACTTTTCCATAGACCTAAATGAAGTTCTTAATGAGAATGTTTTCAGACACTGTGGTGAAATTGAAATGATCTCCAACTTAGTATAATTTGGACAATTTGATCTGTTCCTCACTGAGTTCACTTTCTCCTTTTTCTTTTCTTATGTACCATTGAAAATGAAATACATGATCCCAGATAATAAATCTTTGAGAGAAACCTGTATAAACAATTTCCCTAAAAGTTAAAGAGAATAAAAGATTTCTATGAAAGTCTAACAAGGCTTGATGTTTTTCTTACAGGCCTGTATTTATACAATATAGGTGAATATATACAATGCAATTTCATCTTCCTACTTATATCTGTGATAACTTTAGAGCCTAGCAACATAAAAACCAAAGGAAAATCCAGATCTATTTGATCATTTTCTCTGGACTTCTGGGATGAATGGTGATTCTTAGTTATTAGAATCACCAAGAAAGAAGAAAGTCTCTCAAAGAAGGAGAACTTCAGAACAGGTTTTTGAAACTTTTCTAAAGATCTTAAATCACATATAGTTTCCCTTAAACATGCTAGACATGCTATGATGAAAAATAAAAGGTGTTTTACCTCTAAAATCCATGCAAATTAAAATACAGATCACCATATGTGCTATGAAAGAGGATTGTATGAACAAGGGATTAAAACAGCATCGTTGAGAATGAATGGATTGTTGAGGCACTAAATAATAAATAACTTCATTAAATGCTGCAATGATGCTGTTGAGGCAAATGACAGCTACCAAGGAAGATCAATGTCTCCATGCCTTATAGCTTGGAAGATAGTAGGCTACATACGTTTCACAATGTGGCCTCCATCTGCCAAGGTGAAGCTGCAATAGACTTAAGTAAATATTATCTTACTCAGAAACTTATGCACATCTAAACAACATAGTTAGCACTCCTATTTTGGATAACAAATTCAGGTGTTGAAGTAATAAATGGTTATAAAAAGTAGAAAAAGAAAATTCTGAGAAATTATTAGGCAACTCCTCAAACTCCTTAATTCATTGTCACAAAATTTGTTATCAAGAAGTAATCCTTTAAAGAAAACTTCCTTATAAAGCAGATCTAAGAAATGAAATAAGTATTTTTTCCAGTTTTATGATATTTTAGGAAGAGTTAATGTATTTTGACTTTGAGCCTGACATTGTTTACATGAATCAAAATAGCAGCAGCAGAAACATAGACAACCATTTACATGTTTTTCGTACACTTTGGTGATTTTTTTTAAATTAAAATAATGAACACTATCCATTAAAGCCATAAGTATTTCATTAGAAAACACAGCAGCCACTGTTAAATTTCTAAGATAGTGCCTTGAAAAATATGTGTTAGTTGGAAAATTTCATTTTCTATCTAATTTATGTATTCAGTTCCATACATTAATATGGTTGAAATATAAATTTTGTTTGTTTAATAGTAAAATTACAATGTTGCAATCTCTCATTGGAAAGGCATCTGTGAGCAGCTGCTCAAAAGCTCCTCATTCACAAATTATGTATATTCCCTGTATACTTTGCAAGTTGAAGTTCTGAAGAATTCATATGTATGTATCATACTAATATATCAGGAAATAATATTTTAATAACACAGGCAGTAAAATTCTGTATATAAAATAGGAATACAACAGAGAGCTATGTATAATTAATATGATTAATGGAGCACATATACCAAATACATACCTATCATTCATCATACTCTTAGTGGGTCAGTGTGCTTGGATGAACAGAATCATTTAATTTGCCTGTCTTTAATAAGTACTTGAAAAAAGGAGTCAAAGCTAATGGGATTCACCTATTCCTAAAACATAATAAGGTATTATTAAAACCAATAAAGTCGCAAATTCTTATTTTCAAAAATACCTTGTGAAACACAATTTTATTTCATGAAAAATATTATAGGAATTATGAATATATAATTATGTATACCATTTTCTTCTTAGATATTTCAATGGACAAAGTTTTAAATGCCTAGCTATACTAAGATTTATTTTCAAAATTGATAATGAACAAGACATTTATTAAAATTAGCCTACATGAATACAGGACAGAAGAAAGCATTTCTAGTTTTCTTTCACATTTTGTTTATTCATCTTTAAACAGTACCACTGTTGAAGCATTGAAAGAAAGAAAATAGTCTCTAAAAAGAGTCTTCAACCAAAGATTTTTAAATGTGGACATGGCAATTTAGCTTGAAGTATCCCATGGTGCTAACAGTGCTGCCACTAAGAGAAATGTCTCCACGGATGATCACAGAGACATGCATTTTCCAGATACTTCAATTACATAATTTGGAATAAGTATAAGAAAAGAACATGTATCTTGTCAGTTAGTGCCCCTATATTTCACTGCTTTGCATTGGGTTGTTTTGGCTGCTTCTAATAATTGGAGGTATGCCAGTTTACTTAAATGTAATGTTAGTTGTCAATGCTTCTGAAGTTGGCATTTTGCACATTACTAAATGGAATTCCAAAGACTATAATGTTTAATATATATATTGAAAGTAGATTCTTAGATAAAGAGGGCCCAGGATCATGGTTTCATGAACTGCCTGCCAATATAGTTATAGAGAATATCAGTCTTATTTAGATAGCTTGAATTGTGTCATGATGAAATGTTATAATCAAAAGTTCATCTAGTTGCATACAGAATATTTGTATGTGTGTATTTATTGGCTTGGATGTATTTTTGTGTCTGTTTGCATATATCTCTATCTATCTATCTATATCTATCTATTTATCTATCTATCTATCTATCTATCTATATATATTTGCCCAGGGCAGAAAAGATAAGAAATAGAAATAGGAAAATATATTTTTCATCAGAGATAATGCCATTTTGAAAGTAATAATAGTGAAAATAGCAGTGTATTAGAATTTCCAGGATTTGTTAGAAATATAGTTCTTAAATATTCTATTAGATCTAAAAACTATGGATTGTTTATATCATATAACCTATTTTTTTTTTTCATGAGAAAGAATCTAAGGTAGTCAAACCTACACCAAATGACTTACTGACATTTAGATATTACTTGGAGCTAGTCATTTCTTTTTGACCCATCAATCAAATGAGAATATTCAACAAGCATTGTATTTCCCAGCTCAGAGTGTCTTCAGATTGTGTTGCTAAATTTTGAAAAATCTTTGCAGTCATTCATGTACAGGATTAAATCCAGAAAAATGAGACATGGAAAGAAACGGAAATATTTTTACTTATTTGCTAATGAGAAAATAAAAGTATCTTGAATTATTAGAAAACAGGTGTTCAGTGAACAGTCATAGAGTTTCTCCCATTGTTTATGAAGAAAAGTACATACAATACAAATTAAGAGGCATGGGCATCCAGGCTGCAGGCGTGCATGCCTGTACATTCTTTCATATTCTTCTAAGTAGTTATTTTGAAAACACTAAAAAATATGAGTGCTTTTAAAAAATAATAGATTTTTTTTCTGACTTGATTCAATTTAAATCTCTTATGAACATCGTTTTTATTAGACTTGAAGACGGTGCTGGTGAGGATTGACAGCTGCCATTGAGGTCTGACATGATGAATTCAGGAGCGATTTTTAAACTGACTAAAAATGGTGCAATTCTTTTTCTAGAATTAGCTGGTATCAGCTTCTCAAGATAAG